GAGGTAATGACAATGTTTTATCCTGCTGGCCACTCGTTTATTGTCATTCTGGGGAACAGCAAACTGAAGCAGACATTTGTAGAGATGCTCCGGTGTGAGTCTGGCCACCTGAAGCCTGGATCCAAGGGACCCATTTTCTCTTAGAGTAACAGAGGGCCTGGGGTGGAGCCCGTGAGCCTTTTGCTTGGCTCAAGACTACGGGATTCTTCCTGACCCTCCCATGATACCAGTTCCATAACATCACTAGGAGAGAAACCCTGACTGCTTTGCCCCTGGTCCCTGAGGACCTCTTCCAAGGTGAAAGCCATGCTTCTCACGACCTCTGTCTGTATGGTGGTTGCGGAAGTGGGGAGAGCGCAGGAGTAGTAGTGTTTTGGAAATGACAATGTTGTAAGAACACTCTCACTATAAACACACGGTGCTGTATTTTAATGATCATCAGCTCCACACAATGAGTCTGATTACTAGTTTCAACTTAAATTAGATACTAACAGTGATAAACATAAAATTACATAGTAGACTTGAAGGAAAGAGCAAAAGTTTTGCAGTCCTGTAGATGTGGGCTCAAGTTCTGATTCTGGCCAAGATTTTTGGCCTCAGGTGAGTTACTTTAATTACCTGTCTGATCCCCTCTTCTGATCCCTACTGGCCATTTTAGCACAGTGTGTTATGTAAAGATGTAAAGTACTGAGTAAGTGAAGGCTATTATTGTGCTAATATTGGATTGTGCAGCAACAGCAATTTCCATATGATTCTAGTTTCCACAAACCCATTGTGTAATGATGAAAACAGTGGAAAGAAAATTAAGACCTTTAGATTCTAGATTCCAATTCAATGTTGCATTTCATGATCATTTTGCTAAAGTACATTTTCAAGTAGTCATTTTGTAGATTGGCCAAAAGACCAAGTGGTTTTGTTTTTATTTTCGACCAAGATGCCTGCCTGGTTTTAAAATTACAGTTTTATCAAATGTAATATAAGCAAATTTTATGTTTAATCAATTTTATTTAAACAGAAGTATTAGATGCTGATTTACTTCCTGTTATTAACAATTTTGACATGTCAATGAAAAGATATTGCTTAATATCCTGAAGAATTCTCATATTTGTAAACATATTCAGTTAATACATATGGCATTATTCAGAAATGTGGATTTCTAGTCCTAATGGGACTCTCAGAAGTGGATTGTTGTGGCTAAGAATGTGGACCCTGAAGCCAGACAACCCGTGTTTAAATTTGGCTTTGGCCCTTTTGAACTGGGTGACCTTGGGGAAACTTCCTAACCTAGTCTCTATTCAACTTTCTTCATTTGTAAAATAGAAATAGTAATTGTGTGCGTGTGTGTGTTGGGATAAAGTTGTTGGAAGGAAGGAGTGAATTAACATATGAAAAGTGCTGTCCTACATGGAGTAAACACACAATAAAACTGCTATCGTTGTTGTTATTTTGTGAAAAGGAGCATATTTTGACATAATAAAAAGGAGTATATTTGAACATAACATGAATGTCCATTATATTACTGGACATTTGGTCATATGTAACTGGAAATTAACATTAGGGTTGTTCTGGGATTTATATCTTAATTTCTAAAATGACGGGAAAAAATTTTCCTTTGGTCTGCACAGTTTGCATTATCCCATTGGATTAAACACCTCCCCAACCAGCAGGTGGCGGCTTAGGAGAAAAACCATATTACTGATAGATAAAATAAAGAACTGACTTGTTTTCAGCACATTTGAGCTTGTAGAGTGAGTAAATTTTGTTGGCCACACTATCATTAAATTGTCATTGTGACTTGGTGGAGCTGGGTCAATCGTCTGAGCAACATTTCCAGGTTAACTCTGAAATACATATTTTCAGGAGTTGATGAGTGGAGTTTCTTGGCCGTATTCTATCTGATCTCAGTTTCCATTTGTGGCCAGACAGGGTATTCATAGCCAGAGAGGAAGGATTTCTGAGTTATCCTTGGCTTTTCAGGCTTCTCCCCTTATTGCCCAGCTGGCAGATCCCCCCTTCAGAAAGGGATGAGCGCTGCCTAGCTTCTGGATGTTGCTGTAATAGTCCAGGAATGAATACATTTCTCACTTCATTTTGATTCTGGCTAGCCTTGATTCCAGTTCATTCCTTCCTGCCACAAACATTTATTTAACACTTATTGTGTACCAAGCACTGTACGAGACCAAGCACTGTACGAGACGCTTGTTCCTTGAACACGGTTCTGTTCTCAAAAACATTACTTAGTGGGCCATAAAGACACAGTAACAAGTATTTAATTGCTGCATCACTGAAACAGGTGCTTCAGGTACAATAAAGGGATCATCCTATCTTGAGGGTCCTGGTGCAGGTGATGTTTGTCTCTAGACCCCTTTTGTGTCACCTTGAAAATGTGCACTCAGATCTCTGCTGTGGAGGCTCAATTGGCTGATGGCTCCAGCTTGGGAGATCCACTACGGTGAGGCCACATTTCCTGCAGGCTTCTCCCAGCCAGTGGTGGAGCACTGTGGAGTACTAAGGCAAGTCTGTTTTGCTGAGACATGGGACCCCTCTAACAGGCAATTTTGGCCAAGGACTCTGCATCAGCTTGGTTGAAGTTTTCTTGGACCTCTACTGTACTTTTGAACTCTCTCTACCCAATTATTCCCTACCCCACTTTACCTCTTCCCCTTTTATAGCTGTCAGACCTACATTGCTATCTGAATACTCTGCTCACTTCCTCTGGCTCCCACCCACCTAAGATCTCTTGCACATCTAATCTTTTTTAAGCCTCTGCCTCTTGGCAGACCTCTCATATAAGTAATCTCTTTATTAAAAAGCTAGTGCAGACGATAAAGATACTCACTAAAAAACATGTAAGTGTACGTGCGTGTGTGTGTGTGTGTTCAAAGTGCACCAGAATTCTAGAAATCATTCCAGATTCTGCCTTCTCCTACAACCTCAATATCCATTTAGTTGCCAGATCCCCTTTGTTGTACTTCAAAACATTTCTCTCACGTGTTTCCTGGTCTCCATTTCCACTCTTTTCAGCCCATCAGAGGGATTGCAACAGGATTCTAACTAGTTTCCTGTTTCCAGCTCCATCCCCTTCCAGCAAAGCCTTTCCTTGTTACTTGGATTGTATTCTTCATACAGTGAAAAGAGGGGAGTAATGCTCCCCTCTTAAAAGTCTTGCAGTGGCTGTCCATTGCTTTGGGTAAAGTCCAGACTACTTAGTTTACAGCATAAAGCCAGTCATCATTTGGCCTCTGTTTTCTTTTTAGTTTCATCTTCTTGTTCCTTGCTTCTCCAAAAGAACTTTGAACTGCTTCTAGTTCCCAAATATGCCATACTCTTCTTGCTGCTATGCTTTTCCATGTGCTGCTTTCTATACCTAGAATTATCTTTCTTACCAACTGTGTCAACTTCTCTTATTCTTCAAGACCTCCCTCCTCCAGGAACCTTTCTCTGATTCTTTTAGGTGAAGCTAAGCACTTATTCTGTGTGTTTTTTCTAATGTTGTACATGCCTCTGATCACATTCGTGTAATAATTATGTCCAAATTCTGTACCTACTATGGCATAGATACTTCCTGATTTATCTTTTCAGTTTCATCTCCCACTGTTTCTCTTCCTATCCTTGTACCCCTCCCCTCTTCTGTTTTCTGAATCCACCATACACTATCACCTCTTAGTCTGCATGTAGAGTTCTCTGCTTGCAATGTCCTTCTTTCTCCCTACCTTAGCTTTTTTTGGATAATCTCTTTGCATCCTTTAAGACTGAATGTATATGTCTTCTCAGTTCCTGAACTGCCAAAACTGGATCAAGTGTGCCTCCTGAACACTCCTGTTGTGCTCCTTGTGTTTCCTTATTATGGCATCTAAAACTCTCAATTCTAATTGTCTATTCATCTGTCTTTTTTTTTTTTTTTTTTTTACCATTTCATATATTCTTTGAAGGCAGGTGTGCTGTGGGTGATTCTTCTCTGTTTCCCCAGCACCTAACAGTGCCTGGCTGATAACCAGTTTATAGAATGAAAGAACCAGTGAGGGAAGTCTAGTATAGTAGAAAGAGCTCAGTCTCAGACCTTTCAGCTTAGCCAGTCGTTTGCTGCTATGGTTTGGATGTCCCCTCCAAAACTCATGCCAGAATGTAATTGTACCCTCGTAACAGTGTTGAGAGGTGGGGCCTTTAAGAGGTGACTGGGTCATGAGGGCTTTGCCCTCATGAATGGATTAATGCAGGAGTGGGTTTGTTATTGCAGGAGTTTGGCCCCCTTTTCCTGTCTTGTTCTCATGTACACATTCTTGCCCTCTGCCATGTTATGAAGTACTAAGTAGTCCCTCATTAGATGCCGAGCTGATGCCAGCACCATGCTTTTGGACTTCCCAGCTTCCAGAACTGTGAGCCACTAGACTTCTTTATAAATTTCCCAATCTGTGGTATTCTGTTACAGCAGCAGAAAATGGGCCAAGGCATTTGCTCTGGTGTTAAGCAGTCACTTATTTTCCCTGATCTTCATTTTCCTCACTCATAAATAGGATAACCATATACTCCTCCTAGGATGCCTGGTGCACTGCTGGGAACATAGTAAGCATTTAAAAAAAAACACAAAAAATGGAAGGTTTCTTCTTTCTCGTAAGTGCCATGTATACTTTTTTGAAAAAATTTCAAACTTTTAAATTCCTGTTTCTTCATGACTGACCTAATTCTTCAGAGCTGTCATCAAATAAGTTAAGTGCCATTCATTTGCTTTGACAATTTGCCCTAAAACTTTTCTTTTTTTTTTTTTTTTTTTTTTTTTTTTTTTTGAGACGAAGTCTCGCTCTGTCGCCCAGGCTGGAGTGCCGTGGCCGGATCTCAGCTCACTGCAAGCTCCGCCTCCCGGGTTTATGCCATTCTCCTGCCTCAGCCTCTCGAGTAGCTGGGACTACAGGCGCCCGCCACCTCGCCTGGCTAGTTTTTTGTATTTTTTAGTAGAGACGGGGTTTCACCGTGTTAGCCAGGATGGTCTTGATCTCCTGACCTCGTGATCCGCCTGTCTCGGCCTCCCAAAGTGCTGGGATTACAGGCCTGAGCCACCGCGCCCGGCCTGCCCTAAAGCTTTTCTTACAGACCTGTCAAGAAGCAGAGTTTGGACCCATGCCTGCAATGCCTGCTAGTTGGTCTTCTTGGGCTCTAGTAAATATTCAAACTTACAAGACTGTCTTAGTCCACTGTGGTACCAGCCTACTCAGACGGATAGAGTTGAGGGACCTAATTTACCAGCAGGGCAGTGTCAGGCCTTCCTCTTTTGCAGAGTCTTTGATGCAGGCCATACAGTTCAGGTACAATAATAAGAGATACACATTAGAGTAAGGCTGGGAGCTGCCGTAAATTAAAAGCTTCGTGTCCCAAAAGATCCAATTTATCATGTTATAATTTTGTAGACAAAGCTTCTAGGGTTGAGTCAAGATACAGGCACATGAGAAGGAAGCCCAAGGCGTGCAGTCTCTGTAAGATACTTATTACAGTTCACTTACAGTTCCTTCCAGTCAAGATGCAATTTGCCAATCAGGAGTCTTTTTTTTTTTTTTTTGGTCTAGAAACATAGTTGATGTTCTCACCCTTCTCAGGTTGGTAAGGAAAACAGCTAGGAATTTTAACTGTAGGTCAAATTCTCATGCAGAGGGAGAAAGGGTTCTGCTAACACTTTTCCTATACTGACCCTTGTGGAAATAACTTCTAACTGAATGAGCTCATTCATTGATTGTGCTAGCCAACTTTATCACATCTTAATTACAGCACTTCCTCCTACACAGAACCCAACAAGTTGGTATAGTACATTCTGGATAGAGTCTGTTACTATCTAATTCTGGGATTCCTGCTCTTTTGGCCACATTTATTTCTTATGGTTTACTCTATATTATTTATTTTATTTAAATGTGATGTTAGTAATACTGTAACTTCACTTTAATGCAGCCATCTACGGATAATTAATTGGAAATCTGTGCTATAATTTTCCTTTTAGTCATAGTCTTCCTGGCTCATTCTGTTTGCCTATTTAACTGATATGTGGGCATGCCTCTATCAGTGCCTGTTAGTTTTGAATAAAAAGCTTCTGTAAGCACCTGGGCACAAGGTCAGAGAATTTCTCCAGGCTTGCCGTCCTGTCATCTGTCTTAAAGGGCCTCATGAATGTGTTCCCCTCTTCTGGACCTGATTATCATTATATCTTAGCTCCTTTTTCTTGTCTATTTCTATCTGGACTTGGCAGTAGGACTTTGTGCTGTACCTTGATGCTAATTTGGTAACATATGTGGCCGCATCCAGGATTGCACCTTGGTTTCATTCAGCTGCTGGAGTAGATAAGAGATGCCATACTCTTACATTCACCTGTGGTCCGCCATAATATCATTTGCCAGGTATATTGTGCCATTTCCCATCTGAGCAAGTACAGAGAAATCCAGCAATGAGATGCCTAGCTGTTTGGCTCACAAAACTGCAACCAATGCATTACTGTGTATCTCATTTCAGGGTACGTGGATTGACAGTTAAATGCCTAAGAGAAAATAGCCATATGTGATCTAAACATAAACCCAGGTTTATAAAGGAAACACCTACAAGGGTTGACTTAATTTTTTTTAAGAAAAACCAGAACATAGCAAATGGTTATGGCACAAATCTATGTATGTAGATAGAGAATGCAAAGCAAAGGGTATCAGAAAGGATGGGATTCATTGAGAAAGGTTTTTTCAAGGAGATATTGGGTCTTTGAACTTGATCTATTAGATCACTGTAAATCACTGTAGGTGAGTCACTAAGGTTGAAGAGTGGCATTGGCATGGCCAGAATTACAGTTGGAGAAACCGGTTGTGGCAGCAACAGATTAGAGGAGAGAGAGAAATTGGATTCTGGTCATCTATGAATATGAGGCTAGAAGGTGGGTGGGTAGGAGTGAGCAATGAGGATTTCCGCCATATTCTGGCATTTTTATGAAGAAAAACTTTACCGTAAAACAGTGACAGAAACATTGCTGGACTCGAGCTCTCCGATTTGGATTCTAAGTTTTTGGAGCCTGTTGTGACTCCTCCCTCTCACCCTCCTGCTCTTGGAGGATTGGACTCCCAGGATCACCTAGGCTCGCTGTAATTAGGCATGTCTAGGAAGAACAGGATACAAATGAAGGAATAGTAATGCAATCCTTGGAAGATTTGCATCTCAGTAAAAGCAGCTGGCCCTTAGATCATGGATGGCTCATTTGCCACGCTGGGGAAAAATTAAAAAGGAGATGTCCTTCCTGGCTAGATACTGGTGTCTGTTTATACATTTTGGTATTTCTCCTGCCCCCACTATCAGCACCACAACTGCTGAATCCTCAATGAGTAAAGATGCTTTGGTTATTCCATTTCTCTGCTATTATTGCCTCAGTTATTTTAAATTTTGTAGGAATCATTATGAGTCTGTTTATTACAGTGGTCAATTACAAAACTTGGGTCAAAAGCCATAGAATCTCCTCTTCTGAAAGGATCCTGTTCAGCTTGGGCATCACCAGGTTTTTTATGCTGGGACTATTTCTGGTGAACACCATCTATTTCGTCTCTTCAAATAAGGAAAGGTCAGTCTACCTGTCTGCTTTTTTCGTGTTGTGTTTCATGTTTTTGGACTCAAGCAGTCTCTGGTTTGTGACCTTGCTCAACAGCTTGTACTGTGTGAAGATTACCAACTTCCAACACTCAGTGTTTCTCCTGCTGAAGCGGAATATCTCCCCAAAGATCCCCAGACTGCTGCCGGCCTGTATGCTGATTTCTGCTTTCACCACTTGCCTGTATATCACGCTTAGCCAGGCATCACCTTTTCCTGAACTTGTGACTAAGAGAAATAACACATCCTTTAATATCAGTGAGGGCATCTTGTCTTTAGTGGTTTCTTTTGTCTTGAGCTCATCTCTCCAGTTCATCATTAATGTGACTTCTGCTTCCTTGCTAATATACTCCTTGAGGAGACATATACGGAAGATGCAGAAAAATGCCACTGGTTTCTGGAATCCCCAGACGGAAGCTCATGTAGGTGCTATGAAGCTGATGATCTATTTCCTCATCCTCTACATTCCATATTCAGTTGCTACACTGGTCCAGTATCTCCCCTTTTATGCAGGGATGGATATGGGGACCAAATCCATTTGTCTGATTTTTGCCACCCTTTACTCTCCAGGACATTCTGTTCTCATTATTATCACACATCCTAAACTGAAAACAACAGCAAAGAAGATTCTTTGTTTCAAAAAATAGCGGAATTTCAGTAAACAATACCTAGATTCACCTGATGGTTTGGGGGCAAGGTTTTCTGTTGGCAGTTTTCCCAATGGTCTGAGGAATTCAGTTTTGTGATTGCTGATCTGACTCTTAGGCTTTTGAGTGCCTGATTTTCAGCTCATTCTGTAATTGTTTTTGGTATGTAAGTATTTTAAAATAAGGCACATTCTCTAAGAAACTTTTTTGAGGCATGTATTTATCATGTGTTTTGCATGGCCATTGAATCCATGGATAATGGAAATCATCACATTGTTTCATTGTCTATTAAAGTATAATGGGAAATTCTTCCACATTAGAGAATACATTGGGGTGCACATGATGAGTTAAATGTTTGTGGTTTAGCTACAGAGCCCTGAGTAAGGGCTCAGCAGTGGATAGGTGGTCACTGGGAGCCACTAGACTGACTGAAGGCAGAGGAATTGGGGGCAGTGCAAAGAGAAAAGGAAAAAAGGTTTCAGAGAGAAAAGAAGGAAAAAGAAAGGTGAAAAGAACACTGTGGGACAAGACAGAAAAAGTGTCCTCACACTTGCTGGGTAACAGTAACTGAACTCTTCCTTCCGCTAAGGTTTCTAGGCTTGTTCTGGAAAAGAGGATATTGCCAGAGTTGGTAAGTAGAGGGAAGTGATTAGTATTTAAGAAACTGAATCAAGAATGGTTCCAAAAATCTTAAAATCCAGGGGAGCCAGCCTAAGCTCAAAGGCAAGTGCTAGATAATCAAATTAACACCATATGAGTACAAATTTACAAAATACTGTACCTCACCATAGGATATGGAACTCAGTGGAAAGCCAAAGAAGCACTGGACAGGTAGGGGGAGTGCTTGACTTGTGATGAATTTATTTCATCTGTTTATGCATTTGTGCATAGCACAGTTCTTCTGCAGAATGTTGTTTCTGTGGTTGGGACAATAGGACTGTGGCTCCAAAAGAACAAGAGTCTGAAGATGGGATGTTGACAAGTTTTGGAATGTGAATTGGGAAATCATAATTTGTATTTATTTAGGTATTTTTGGTGTTCATAAAATGCTTATGTAATATTTACATATGTCAAATAAATCTTAAAATTTTATAAATTACATGACTTTTCTCATTCTGATTACCAGAATCTTGACTGCAACATTTAGTAAAAATTTCCCAAGCCAATATTTTGTGCTGTGAAACCTGGAGGTATTCATCATGTTAAATCCTAAAAGAGATAAAAGGATTACTGAGAGTGACTAAATGCATGCTATGTCTTATGAACCCTAAATGAGTGGCAGACACCCTCATTGGTCCCTCAGTATCTGTTCTTTCTCCTCTCTTCCATAGTAATCAAATCGTTAGCTGTTCAGAATTTTGGCAGCAAATTCCATTATTGCCACGATATGAGCAGAAAAGATGTATATAATTTCTAGGTGGTGCTTCAGAGCAGTCCTGCCTTCCCTTCTTTAATCTTTTCTTCATTACTCTCTCCATGAGCTGGAATGCTGACGTCATGATTGTCTATCTTGGACAATGCAGATGAGGTAGATGCTTGCGATAGTGGAGTAATTCTCCATCCTAGAGCTGGCTCCATGTTTCTTGACACTGTGGACTTGTCACACCAGCTCTGGACTGCTCAAGCCTGAACTCGGGGACTGTTTATGAGAAATCATTGTCTCCATTCTTTCAGGTGCTGGATTTTTGGTCTCTGTTACCTTAGTCAAATAACCTATGCTATACCTTAAATCTATACAATAATACATATCTTTATGATGAAATAGTATGTAGTTACCATCTTATAGTCAAAGAACATTTTTATATGACCTGCTATGTGAAATTGACATAAAACCTGTACACGTGGTATAATACCTTTTTTTTGGTAAAAATGTACATATGAAGAAAAGTCTAAAAGGAAATGTATAAAAATGTAAACAGTAATTATTTTAAGTGGGAGGAATCAAGTAATCTTTTTGTATATTTCAAGTTTTCTATAATGAACATTTTTTATAATAAAAAATATGTTTAAATATATAACATATATACAGTCTATCTATCTATCTATCTATCTATCTATCTATCTATCTATCTGTCCGTCCATCCGTCCGTCTGTCCATCCACCCACCCACCTACCTAAAAGACAGAGAGGGAGTTCTGAGGTCAACATCCAGTTTGTCCTCGCTAAGAAAGGTAAGTGAATTGTCTTGCTTTGTCTGGATACTTTTTATTGTATTGGCAAAGTTCTGCCAATTTGTTTCCTGTTTCTCCTACACTGTCTTCAATTTTCCCCTCTCTGGGTTGGATATGTTGTCTTTGTGTTAGGACTATTTTTTGCTGTCTGAAGAAAGTCTTCAGTCTTTGCTTAGGCACTTACCCAAAGTCCCCCTTGGGCACAGTTCCAAGTCTTTGCTATTGTGAATAGTGCTGCAGTAAACATACATGTGCATATGTCTTTATAGCAGCATGCTTTATAATCCTTTGGTTATATACCCAGTAATGGGATGACTGGGTCAAATGGTATTTCTAGTTCTAGATCCTTGAGGAATCACCACACTGTCTTTCACAATGGTTGAACTAGTTTACAGTCCCACCAACAGTGTAAAAGTGTTCCTATTTCTCCACATCCTCTCCAGCACCTGTTGTTTCCTGACTTTTTAATGATCGCCATTCTAACTGGTGTGAGATGGTATCTCACTGTGGTTTTGATTTGCATTTCTCTGATGGCCAGTGATGATGAGCATTTTTTCATGTGTCTGTTGGCTGCATAAATGTCTTCTTTTGAGAAGTGTCTGTTCATATCCTTTGCCCACTTTTTGATGGGGCTGTTTGTTTTTTCCTTGTAAATTTGTTTGAGTTCTTTGTAGATTCTGGATATTAGCCCTTTGTCAGATGGGTAGATTGCAAAAAGTTTCTCCCATTCTGTAGGTTGCCTGTTCACTCTGATGGTAGTTTCTTTTGCTGTGCAGAAGCTCTTTAGTTTAATTAGATCCCATTTGTCAATTTTGGCTTTTGTTGACATTGCTTTTGGTGTTTTAGACATGAAGTCCTTGCCCATGCCTATGTCTGAATGGTATTGCCTACGTTTTCTCCTCGGGTTTTTATGATTTTATGTCTTACATTTAAGTCTTTAATCCATCTTGAGTTAATTTTTGTATAAGGTGTAAGGAAGGGATCCACTTTCAGCTTTCTCCATATGGCTAGCCAGTTTTCCCAGCATCATTTATTAAATAGGGAATCCTTTCCCCATTTCTTGTTTTTGTCAGGTTTGTCAAAGATCAGATGGTTGTAGATGTATGGTATTATTTCTGAGGGCTCTGTTCTGTTCCATTGGTCTATATCTCTGTTTTGGTACCAGTACCATGCTGTTTTGGTTACTGTAGCTTTGTAGTATAGTTTGAAGTCAGGTAGCATGATGCCTCCAGCTTTGTTCTTTTGGCTTAGGGTTGTCTTGGCAATGCGTGCTCTTTTATTGTTCCATATGAACTTTAAAGTAGTTTTTTTCCAATTCTGTGAAGAAAGTCATTGGTAGCTTAATGGGGATGGCATTGATTCTATAAATTACCTTGGGCAGTATGGCCATTTTCACGATATTTATTCTTCCTATCCATGAGCATGGAATGTTCTTCCATTTGTTTGTGTCCTCTTTTATTTCATTAAGCAGTGGTTTGTAATTCTCCTTGAAGAGGTCCTTCACATCCCTTATAAGTTGGATTCCTAAGTATTTTATTTTCTTTGAAGCAATTGTGAATGGGAGTTCACTCATGATTTGGCTCTCTTGTGGGCATTTAGTGCTATCAGTTTCCCTCTACACAGTGCTTTAAATGTGTCCCAGAGATTCTGGTATGTTGTATCTTTGTTTTCATTGATTTCAAAGAACATCTTTATTTCTGCCTTCATTTCATTATGTACTCAGTAGTCACTCAGGAGCAGGTTGTTCGGTTTCCATGTAGTTGAGTGGTTTTGATTGAGTTTCTTCGTCCTGAGTTCTAGTTTGATTGCACTGTGTTCTGAGAGACAGTTTGTTATAATTTCTGTTCTTTTACATTTGCTGAGGAGTGCTTTACTTCCAACTATGTGGTCAATTTTGTAATAAGTGAGATGTGGTGCTGAGAAGAATATATATTCTGTTGATTTGGGGTGGAGAGATCTGTAGGTGTCTATTAGGTCTGCTTGGTGCAGAGGTGAGTTCAATTCCTGGATATCCTTGTTAACTTTCTGTCTTGTGGATCTGTCTAATGTTGACAGTGGGGTGTTAAAGTCTCCCATTATTATTGTGGGGAGTCTAAGTCTCTTTGTAAGTCTCTAAGGACTTGCTTTATGAATCTGGGTGCTCCTGTATTGGATGCATTTATATTTAGGATAGTTAGCTCTTCTTGTTGAATTGATCCCTTTATCATTATGTAATGGCCTTTTTTGGTCTCTTTTGATCCTTGTTGGTTTAAAGTCTGTTTTATCAGAGACTAGGATTGCAACCCCTGCTTTTTTTTGTTTTCCATTTGCTTGGTAGATCTTCCTCCATCCCTTTATTTTGAGCCTATGTGTGTCTCTGCACATGAGATGGGTCTCCTGAGTACAGCACACTGATGGGTCTTGACTCTTTATCCAATTTGCCAGTCTGTGTCTTTTCATTGGAGCGTTTATTTCATTTACAGTTAAGGTTAATATTTTGTGTGCAAACTTTATCCTGTCATTATGAGGTTAGCTGGTTATTTTGCTTGTTAGTTTATGCAGTTTCTTCCTAGCATCGATGGTCTTTACATTTTGGCATATTTTTGCAGTCGCTGGTACCAGTTGTTCCTTTCCATGTTTCTTGCTTCCTTCAGGAGCTCTTGTAGGGCAGTCCTGGTGGTGACAAAATCTCTCAGCATTTGCTTATCTGTAAAGGATTTTATTTCTCCTTCACTTATGAAACTTAGTTTGGCTGGATATGAAATTCTGGGTTGAAAATTCTTTTCTTTATGAATGTTGAATATTGGCCCCCACTTTCTTCTGGCTTGTAGAGTTTCTGCCGAGAGATCCACTGTTAGTCTGATGGGCTTCCCTTTGTGTGTAACCTGACCTTTCTCTCTGGCTGCCCTTAACAATTTTTCCTTCATTTCAACTTTGCTGAATCTGACAATTATGCCTTGGAGTTGCTCTTCTCGAGGATAATCTTTGTGGCATTCTCTCTATTTCCTGAATTTGAGTGTTGGCCTGCCTTGCTAGGTTCGGGAAGTTCTCCTGGATAATATCCTGCAGAGTGTTTTCCAACTTGGTTCCATTCTCCCTGTCACTTTCAGGTACACCAATCAGACGTAGATTTGATCTTTTCACATAGTCCCATCTTTTCACATAGTCCCATATTTCTTGGAGGTTTTGTTCATTTCTTTTTACTCTTTTTTCTCTAAACTTCTCTTCTCGCTTCATTTGATCTTCAATCACTGAAGGCCTTTCTTCCAGTTGATCAAATCAGTTACTGAAGCTTGTGTATTCATCATGTAGTTCTTGTGCCATGGTTTTCAGCTCCATCAGGTCATGTAAGGACTTCTCTACACTGGTTATTCTAGTTAGCCATTCGTCTAATCTTTTTTCAAGGTTTTTAGCTTCTTTGCAATGGGTTTTAATATCCTCCTTTAGGTCGGAGAAGTTTGTTATGACCGATCTTCTGAAGCCTTCTTCTCTCAACTTGTCAAAATCATTCTCCATCCAGCTTTGTTCCATTGCTGGCAAGGAGCTGCAATCCTTTGTGGAAGAAGAGACACTCCGATTTTTAGAATTTTCAGCTTTTCTGCTCTAGTTTCTCCCCATCTTTGTGGTTTTATCTACCTTTGGTCTTTGATGATGGTGACATACAAATGGGGTTTTGGTGTGGATGCCCTTTCTGTTTGTTAGTTTTCCTTCTAACAGTCAGGACCCTCAGCTGCAGGTCTGTTGGAGTTTGCTGGAGGTCCACTCCAAACCCTGTTTGCCTGGGTATCACAAAAGGAGGCTGCAGAACTGCAAATATTGCAGAACGGGAAATGTTGCTGCCTGATCGTTCCTCTGGAAGCTTCATCTCAGAAGGGCACCCGGCCATATGAGGTGTCAGTTGGCCCCTACTGGGAGGTGCCTCCAAGTTAGGCTTCTTGGGGGTCAGGGACCCACTTGAGGAGGCAGTCTGTCCCTTCACAGATCTCAAACTCCATGCTGGGAGAACTACTACTCTCTTCAAAGCTATCAGACAGGGACGTTTAAGTCTGCAGAAGTTTCTGCTGCCTTTTGTTCAGCTGTGCCCTGCCCCCAGAGGTGGAGCCTGCAAAGGCAGGCGGGCCTTCTTGAACTGTGGTGGGCTCCACCCAGTTCCAGCTTCCTAGCCTCTTTGTTTACCTACTCAGGCCTCAGCAATGGCAGGCGCCCCTCCCCCAGCCTTGCCACTGCCTTGCAGTTCGATCTCAGACTGCTGTGCTAGCAGTGAGCAAGGCTCTGTGGGCATGGGACCCTCCGAGCCAGGTGCGGGATATAATCTCCTGGTGTGCCGTTTGCTAAGACCGTTGGAAAAGCGCAGTATTAGGTTGGGAGTGACCCAATTTTCCAGGTACCGTCTGTCAGGCCTTCCCTTGGCTAGGAAAGGGAATTCCCCGACCCCTTGTGCTCCCCGGGTGAGGTGATGCCCTGCCCTGCTTTGGCTCACGGTCCGTGGGCTGCAACCCCTGTCCTGCACCCACTGTCTGACAAGCCCCAGTGAGATGAACCCGGTACCTCAGTTGGAAATGCAGAAAGCACCTGTCTTCTGCGTCGCTCACGCTGGGAGCTGTAGACTGGAGCTGTTCCTATTTGGTCATCTTGGAACCTCCCCTCAAAAATTTCAGGGATTTTAAAAGCTTCTTTATATCGCTTAAATTTCATTTAAACATTTCTAAACATGTCTGGCTTTGGGTTTCCTTGATAATTGTTACTAGCATTCTGTTGATGAACCATTTTCAATTGTTAAAAAAAGAGAAAAGATTACTAGAAAGGGG